AGAATCTCAGTTCATGTTAAGTCAAGAGTGTTTCTACATTTTTCTACAGACCGTCCTGTTTCTCCTCCATCCCCACGTGTCCACGTTGGCCTAACAATCCTGATCCCTCCCACCCCGGGATCAGCCTCTGTCTTCTCATCTCTGGAACGGGATGTTGTGGCAGCAGTCTCAGGGTTGAGGTAGTTCATCAGGGAGGTGCTGTCACTGAGGTTCTGACAATGATGGAGACACTGACGCATTTAATCATCGCCCTCCGCCCCTTGTTATGGTGATGCTGAGAACCTTGAATCTGCTCAGGGCTCCCCTCTTCCACCTCTGGCACAAGAACTTGAGGCTTTAGGATTTGGGCTGAGCTCCAGCCCCAACCCACTGGGGGTCCCCAGTGCTGCCGCTGACTCATGTCTCTCCTCTTTCCACCCCAGGGGAGAGATGGACCATCAGGGAGCAGGGATGAGACCTACAGAGTGTGCAGCCTTCAGTGACACAGGCTGGAGAAGCTGGTGATGAACCTGGTGTCTACAGTCCTGGGCGGCCACCCCTCCTACCTGAACACATTCCTGGGCAACTATAGAGGCTTCACCACTGCCCATTAGGTGCTGGACCTTCCGTTCCAAAGGTGAGCACTCTGTCCTCTTGGGACATTGATAACTCAGCCACTTACTAGCAGTCACATGTGGGATTGTCACTCTACCTCTCTGAGCCTCAGTTTGCCCATCTGCACACTGGGGTCAACAGAGGAGCAGGCCCTAGCAGGGTAGAACAGAGGGGGCCCTTCATGGAAAGTGCTTTCTGAGGCCCTGGCCCCTGGAAAGGTCAGCTGGAGATGCTGTGGTTGTGCTAATTGGTCATTGTCCTCCTGCCCAAGAGGAAGCCTCTGCCTTCTGTGTCACTGGGACTTTGTCCTTGGGTGAAACTGATTTTCCACTTCAAAGGAGACTTGTGATTCCATTAGCGGTCCTTGTCCTAGGAGAGTGAGAGCAGGGATCCCTGGGTGGGAGAGGTGGGGTCCCGGGTCCACTCACATCTGTATGATGGGGTTGTTGGGCTCATTTATTCTTCAAATAGGAAGGTCCACTAGGGACAGGTGCTTTCCTAGAAACAACCATCATTTAATGGATCAAGTAGATAACAGTCCTGCCCTCCAGGGCTTCCATTCTCCCAGGAGTCAGTCACACAGGATGTCACATCCAGGTAGTGTTCTCAGTACAGTCCATGTGACTCCATCCTGGTCTCCTCTGTGGGCCTTCCACGCAGGCCTGTTTCAATTTAGTGACCTGGGTGTATGCTATTGAACGCCATCCAGTGCTGGGAAGCAGGGGTGGCCCCAGATCTGGTATCTGCCACAAGAGTAGCTCCCTGATGGGGACAGTACCTCACAGGCCTTGACTGTCCCCAGCACCACCTCTTCTGATGCCTCCATCTCTGCTCCCTTGGTGGGCTCCAGAGCCCAGGCCTTTTCCTCAGCATGGCCTGTGCCTCCCTCATTCTTCAGGTTCATGGAGTTTGAGGCAGAGGAGATGCAGATTCAGCAGGTGCAGTGGATGCAGAGGGTGCAGGGCCTGCCTCCTCCAGCCCCACCAAAGCCAGAACCTCAGGGGACCCAGCCCAAAAAGTGGGCCCTCAGTCAGGTAACCACGTGCCCACTGGAGCTGAACACAAAGGTAACAGGGGCTTAGGGATGGCCACTGTCCCCCCATCAGCCCTTTTCCCTCAAGGGGGTTACTGGTCTTTCAGCCTCAACAGCCATCGACGGGTCTCAGCTGTCCTTTGTCACCCTGGGGTACTGATTTGGACAGTTACAGAACTCCCACCTCCCTGTCTAAGGACACCACATACAGCTTGCCTGAGAAGCGGGCTGGATGGGGAGACGCTTGGAAAATTGGAGGTTCCACACTTGCTCACATGTGACTCTCTTAGAAGCTCCCCCTTACCTCTCCCTCCTCATTCCCCAACACTGTGGGTGAAGATGCAGGTGGTCATGACTCCGAACCACACCCACGTCCATGTTGTTCAAACACTGTCTGAACCAGCATGTGCGCTGCGTGGTCAGAAGCTGGATGCAGAAGCCCCTCACCTTTATTTCTCCTCCCGCTTTCCCCCATTGTGTGTGCCCAGGAAGCTACACAGATCCCAGTGTCCCTGGGAGGCCATGGCACCTAAGAAGAATCCCCCTGAGGCTGTGAAAGAGCATGTGGACATCATGGAGGAGCTGGTGGGGCCTGTCCCCTCAGCCACTGGGGAGGAAGATGCAGAATTCCAAGAGGACAGGAATGAACTGAAGCAGGAAGAGAACGGGACCTACACGGACCCACGTCTCCTGAGCTACACTGACAAGCTGTGCTCCCAGGAAGCCTGCATCACCAAGGTGGGCTGGGCCTGGAGCCTGGGGGCTGCAAGATTCCAGGGACTGGCACTCTCAGCACCAGGACAGGGGTTCTGCCCGGGCCTTTGGGACTTAGGTTGTGAACCTTGTCTCTAAGCTCTGTGTGTGTGTGAGTGTGTGCGTGTGCGTGTGTGGGTAGCTGAATGCCTCAGTGGTTTAAAACAGGCTACCTAATGGAGGACAATGGGGTGGGTCTCTTTTTCACTTTCCCTTCAGGTATTCATGGCTCACAATTTACTCAAGACCAAGGATACTCACAGCCTCTTCCTTCCTTCTTAGGGAGAGGCAGTCATACACCCTCGATTCCTGGCAGACTTGGCTTTCCCCAGAACCACAGCTGGACCTCCTGGCCCTAGCTGAGGAGCTGGAACAGGAGGCAGGACTCACCCTTGAAGAGATGAGCCAGAGGAGGCAGGGACACTCAGGGAGACAAGGGAGGGATGGACCCCAGGTAGAAGAGGGAAGGTGAGAGACACCCAGGTAACCAAGGGAGGGAAGGACCCAGGTCAGCCGGGAGAGGGATGGGACCACATAACAGGAGGCCCTCATGGCTCTGTTCATCCTCCCCTGCCTGGAAGGCCTGGCCTCATGGAGGGCCTGCTAGGGACTGGGTGTGATGCAGGACCATACGAAGGAGAGGATGGGGGCCCAGAGGGAAAGGAAGGACACACAGCTGGGAATAAGGCCCAGGAGGACAGCAGGAGTGCTCTAGTGTCTGTTCTTTGAC